CTGATTCACACTGGGGCCCCCATGAAAGCTTTTTAGGGCAAAATAACACAACTGGAGTTCCAGTCATAGGACTCTAAAATCTCGCAATGGCAGATGTGGCATCTTAAGAGTCCCCTCTCCTCAATATTATGATTTCCAAACCAAATGGCACTCACAGATATCACTCCTTTGTCTGAAGACAAACAGAAGGAAAGGGAAACGAGAAAGAAAAAGACAGAAAAGAAGGGAAGGGAGAAGAAAAAAGAAAGGAAGAGAAGGAATGGGAGAGGATGACAGAAAGGAAGGGAAGAGAGAAGGAAAAAGACAAAGGGAAGAGAAGGAAGAGAGGGGAAAAAGACAGGCAGAAAAAGAAGGGAATGGAGAAGGAAAAGACAGATACAGTGAAAATATTTAAAGTGGATCTCATGTTAAAGGCAGATCCTGGATCTGGAAAGGCTGAACTCCACTGAAGAGGATGCAACATAAAAATGACATTTTCTTTAGAAAGTGGAATTTAGTTTGTGCAAGAGGCACTCAGAGCAAAGAAGCAGAGAGAACAGAAATCAATGACAGTATAATAAATTAAAAGTGTACCTGGCATGCTTAGTTAAATGGACCAAAAAAGAAACATAATCTGGAAATGGAAAACTGCATTGGAAAAGGCGATATAGGAAGATTTTGATAACTTACTGAGGATGGTCAGCTGGGTCCCCCATCGAAGACATCCCACAGTGACACGTGGCTGTGCAAAAACCTCCCTTGCAAAGGAGGGTTTCAACCATGTGGTGAGATCAGAAACGAGCATCTCCCAAATCTTCATCATTGCCAGGTGATGGTGAGATTCCTGAAGAAATACACAGTCCCACTGGTGATAGTAACAGTGGAGCAGGAAAGAGTTTATCTGTTTCACACGGAGGGAATTTTGCTTATTCTGAACCAGTGCATGCCACCATCTTGGTTGGTGATATCCTGGAGTGATCTGTTTGGTGGCTCCTCTACTGTAGATCTGTGTCTGCTATACTAGCACTTAGTATGGGTCAGTTGTTCTTGGACACATGGTGATGCGCAGTTAATATGTGCAATCAGCATTGCCTATGGTGCGACTGCACATCCGATGTGTGGTTGATCTATGCCTTTGGTTCTCCAATTGTGTGCAATGGCTGCATGGCTAAAGATAAGAACTAAACAAACAGGTGTGAATGTTCTGTATAATTCAGTCCTGAACATGTTTATGCAGAAGCCAATCCCACAGGTTTATAATTTATTCTGATCACATAATGAAGTCATGGCCCTTTTTTTTTGGTGCAGAAATTGCACAGTCTTGGTGCAGAAATTTCTCAATGGGCCATTGTGTCCATAGCTTTCCTGTACATTCCAACAGGAGCTTACTAGTGTTGGGTATTAACCATAATATCATTGTTCCATAACAACTGCACACTGATTCTGACATCCATCTTCTCCTTGCTCCATGCTCCAGCTAGTCTGGTCTCCTCAAATGTTAACATACTATATTACAATTACTAAATATGCGTTCATCAGTGTTACATTTATCCAAATGCCAGACTAGGGCTGGGGAGACCCTCTTTCATCCCCACTCAACCACGATGCTCCCTGAGTAATCTTGGGACAGCCACTCTCAGTCTAACCCACCTCACAGGATTGTTGTGAAGATAAAAGCATTTGCATTCACTCTCGGGGGCCTGGAGACCAAGCCCTATGAGGAAAGGCTGAGGGATTTGGGAATGTTTAGACTAGAGAAGAATCAGCTGCCTAGGGAGGTGGTGCGCTCCCCTTCACTGGCAGTCTTCAAGCAGCGGCTGGACCAACACTTGTCAGGGATGCTGTAGGCTGTTCCTGCATTGTGCAGGGGGTTGGACTAGATGGCCTGTATGGTCCCTTCCAGCTCTGTGATTCTATGATTCTATGTTTGTTCATCTCAAAAGCAAAATCAGTTTTATTCTGTGGAATTGATGTTCATGACGTTCATGACCGTACTAGTCATGGCCAATCTGAGCTGTGCACGGCTTGCTTCTGCCGTAACTGTGTAGCAATGCAGAATAATATGGTTAATACGGTCTCTCGGTGGAATGCGTGGAGAACAGTGGACACTTCCTGTGCCTTTTCCATAAAGTCATTGCCGTGGCACATTTTTTTACATGTTCCTTCAGTTGACATTTGAACTTATCTTCCGTATAGCACTGTGCTCCTTTCATTATCCCCAGCTCTTAGTGGGGAGGAACTTACCTCATCATAACACAGGGATCAGTGGCAATATTGATAAAAGAGGCACCTTTTATATTTTTTGGAAGGTAGTGAGGAATGCAACCTCTGTGCTATTTGATTAGTGGAAGAGAATCTGAGGGAAGCTTCCTTTGTGTTTGCTTGTCTGCTTAAGACCTGACATAGACAATGGGCCAGTAGTATATGGTACAGTCCTCCCTACATGTGCCACTCCTCAGACGCATGGGACACTCCCTGGTTTGAAAGTGCCACCAAGCCAAAGTCTCCGGTGAAGTCTTCTGCCTGATACGTTCGCTCTCTACCTGAAGAGAGGCTTTGATGAACCCTCCTTCTTCTCCTGCCTCCTCCTGGCTGAATGAGGGCTGGAAGCAGGGGGGCCGGAAGCAGGGGGTGGGGCTTCGTCATGTGCCCCGCCCCCTGCACCTCACCCGAGGGAACTGCGTTCCCCCGAGTTCCCCCCCGAAATGACCTCTGGTTATTTTCAAATATGAGCCCATAATACATGACAGGGCCATACCATATGCTCTGGTATTGACAGAAGAAAGAAAGGGATGTAAATGTAACAGAGGGTTAGGATGATCATATGGGATCTGGGGTAGGAGTTCTGTACTTTTTAATTTTTGGAGTCAGGCAGTAGATCTAATGGAGCCGCTGTATCTATGCATGCATTTTAGGTGTACAGATATCCCAGAGGTAATCTCAGGTGCAGCCTTAAAGCATCTCAAAACCAATAAAACAAATAGGATCAAAGATCCTCAGTGAATATAAAACAATGAACTAAAATGGCTCCATTCTGCCCTAATCGAGGCCACTCATGAATACCTTACAGCATTTGCAAAAAGATGCCTCTACTAGTCCGCAAATTTTGCTGGCTCTTTGGAATTAGCAATCACTGGATGGATTTTCCAATCCTAGCCAAACTAGTCCCATGTCCTGGTATGTTTCTTTCTGCCGGCTAACCTGTGCTTTCCTGCTTCTGTCAGCCTGAAACCCATTGTGCCCAAGCTATTGATGCTGTTTATTCCACAGCAAACCCATGCAGAGATCAAATGAGTGGCTGGAAGGAAAGGACCAGGCTAGCTAGAATGAGAATGATAAAATAATGAGTGGCCTGCACAGTTATGATTGTCTCTCACATAACAATGGTCATTCATTGGTTCATTCAGTTAAGACTTTAAAAAATAAACCCTACTGTTCTTCAACAAAGGACTCTGAACAAATAATGGCATGTAAAAAAAAACCCAAATCCATTTGCTTAGATGACGTTACAAGAGAACTAGATTTCTTTCTAGAGGGTAGGACTATCAATGACAGCTTTTAGACATCTTTAGCTGGCTATTTTTGGAAACAGGATACCGGACTAGATGGATCTTTTACCGGACCCATCAGGGCTCTTGCTGCTTCTTATTCAGCATGGGTAGAACCCACATTTGGTGGATGGGGGCTTCAGGCCAACACATTAACTTTGGGGAAAATGTTGAGTTGCAGATCAGAGCATGCTTGTGGTATTCATCATTCACACATTCCTTTGCCGTACCCATACCTAACACCCTTCGATTTTCTATGCCTATAAAAATACAACATCACCAAAAAACCTTGGTGAAAAATACACCAAAAGCTTGAAGGAGCAGTGGCTGGGAACAAGAGACTGAAATCTGTGACACATTAGAACAGCTTCATTTTGTCATTATAAACTGTCTTTTGGCAGTGCTGTGTAGAAGAAGGAGGAGGAGGAGATTGGATTTATACCCCGCCCTTCACTACCCAAAGGAGTTTCTAAGCCGCTCTGAGACTCCTTCGGGGAGGGAAGGGGATTAAGGTAGGTGGGGCTGAGGGAGCTCTTTCCAGAACTGTCCTTGAGAGAACAGCTCTGACAGATCTATGGCTTGCCCAAGGTCATCCAGCAGCTGCGAGTGGAGGAGTGGGGAATCAAACCCAGCTCTCCCAGATTCGAGTCCGCACACTTAACCACTACACCAAACTGGCTCTCAAAATGAGGTCAAGCTTTTGTACAAAATAAGGACAGGCTTTTGAAGAATTCAGAATGGCCTCAAAGTGGGGATGGAACATGAAGCTGTCTTATATTGCCCTTGGTCCAGCAAGGTTAGCACTGTCTACCCAGATTGGCAGTGGCTCTCCAGGATCTCAGGTCTTTCACATCACCTGCTACCTGTTCCTTAATTAGAGGTGCTGGGTATTGAACCTGGGACCTAGATGCTCTACCACTGAATCATAGCCCCTCCCCAAAGCGATGCTCTACCACTGAGTCATAGCCCCTCCTCAAAGATGAAGCTCAAACCTCTAACCCATATCCTGTCCCATAACTGCATATAGTTCACCTTGTATTTTTAAAAAAGATATGGATTTGATGCATGAGCTGAAAAGGCTTTCATTTTCTCTTAGGTGTGATCTAGACATGCAACAGAACTAAGTGGTCTTGAAGCGATAGAGACCTGACGTGGTAGAACGGCCTACATAACTTCAGACTGAAACTGGCACATGTACGCAAGGGGCCAGACTAGAAAGTGTCAGTGTTTGCTCCGCTTCTTCTACACCCAGGCTTTGTCACAGAGCTGCAAAAATTAATTAGAGTAGACTTCTGTCAGATAGGGAAGATTTTGGCCTAAGTAAGGACATCTTCCTTCAGGTGAAACCAATTGTGCAAGAGTAGCAAAAATGTAAACACCTAGCTTGAAAAAGCTGGAAAGAGTCATTTTATCAAGAAATGACACCCGTTCAATGTATCAAATTTTATTAATCTGCTAACAGTAGAAGCTGACATACAAGGGTATTCTTGGGAAATACACATGGAGGAAGTATGGGGATGGAACTGCATAGGACAGAAATCAGCCTTAATTTATCAAACTAGCATGAGGAGGAAATTGGGTGGGGGATACTCTCAGCATCATGGAGGACTGTCTCCTCCTGAGGGACACTGGCAGGAGGGGTGCTGTTGAGTCACCCAAGCTTTAAGGACACTCTGAGCTCTTCACCGACTTCTCGATGACCTGTCCTTGGTGCGTCACCTTGCAGGTGTAGGTCTCCCGGCTTTTCCAGTCCGATCCGCTCACAGTCAGATAACTGCTGGCCAGGTACTTATCGTTCTGCTTGGTGGGTCTGGTCGTCTCCACTCCTTCCGTGATGAGGTTGCCGTCGGCCTTCCATTCGACCTGGACCACCCCTGGATGAAATTCCGTCATCAGACACACCAGGGTGGCTTTGCTTCTGGTCTGTATTTCTTCAGGGGATGGTGGGAAGACAGTCACCTTTGGAGGCACTGTTTGCTGACCTGGAAGAGAAGGCGAAAGCCTGGTCAGTATCTATGTAAAAAATGCAGACAAGGAATTAAGAGACAATGAAGTTTCCTGTCTGAACATTTCTTGCACTGTGTGCTTTTGTATATCCTTCAGAGTCATCAAGATAGCATGAGACCGGATGGTGTGTCAGCACAGCAGGGAACATGAGATTGTCCTTGGAAGAAGATACAAACATTCACAAATATATAAGATTTTGTCTTAGGTGAATGGCCATTCCCTTCAGACCTCGAATGCAAAGATAAAAATAATAGAATAAGGCATGACTGTGAGAATTTGCTTCTTTAGATATTTGAAGTCTGAGCACAAGGATAGGCAATAATCTGCAGAAGTGGGATTGCTCCAAAACCTGGATTTAGAAACCCTGGATTCCACTCGATCTTTCCCCCCTTTATTTTCTAGCTGTCACATCTGCCTTTAGAAATAGTTCTCTCCATGCCTTCAACCCTGTTGACCACAACATAATTCCTAAAAGGAGAGGACTGCCCTTCACTTGGACGCCACAAGGTTTCTTCCAATTCCAAGATTTGGTTGGATTCAGCAGTGGGGACTTTGCAGTCTGAGAAAGGCACTCTGCACATGTTCAGAAGCACCCTGTACTTGCTTCGATAGGGAGTCATTGCATGATAAAACTTGGCTCAGATCAAGTCCTGTCTGGGAATGCACCTGCTCTGTGTGCCCAGGCAAACATATCTAGAGGGTTCCTTGACTCCATCAACTTAGGTACTCTGATCAGTGGCCAATCAATCTGATGCTCTCACCTGTCAGAACATGTTAATTTGTTTGACGTTAGATATTACCAGGGGTCGTTTCGTAGAAAAAGAGCTAGGGGAGCTCATTAGCATAACTCATTAGCATATGCCACACCCCCTGACATCACCGGAAGTGTGTCATAAGGCCACACACCCCGCCCCCAATGGTGCTGGCCAGCGGGAGTGCAAGGAAGCCCCACGAAGGCCCTCCCTGGCCCCAGGCAGGCAGGGGTGGGGAGAGGCAGGGAGGAAGCAACTTACCCTCCCTCTTCTCCTGCCTCCTCCTGGCTGAATGAGGGCCAGAAGCGGGGCGGCCGGAAACAGGGGGTGGGGCTTCATCGTGTGCCCCACCCCCCGTACCTCACCCGGGGGAACTGCGATCCCCCGCGATCCCCCCGAAATGACCTCTGGATATTACCTTTTCAAGGCAACTTAAGCAATCAATTGCAACTGGATTTTCCTGCGTGAAAGGGAAAAATCCAGTCGCAACAATTGCTGAAATGGGTTGAAACTGCATTATACAATGTGTGTGAAAGCAGACTTGCAAAGCATTAGTACTCAGGAAGCACTCCCTGGATCAACATTCCCAAATAGAGGGCATATGGAAAAAAAGATTAAAGTAGATTATTTATTTATAAATTTGGTTTATAGACCGTCCCTCCCCTGTGAAACAAGGCTCAGGACGGTGTACAACGGTTATACAAATACATTCAAATCAAATTAAAAATAGTTAAAACAGTAAACCCTATAACAATATGGCCTTAAGACGGATATATCCTATCACTATCCTGTGATATGTGGGGGAGGTGAGAAGGGAGGGGGCAAGCAGGGTGGAAAACCATCGCTGTCCTCACCCATAGGCCTGGTGGAACATCTCTGCCTTACAGGCCCTGCAGAACTTCATTAATGTCACTAGGCAGAGAGTTTCACCAGGTCGGGCCCACTAGATATAAATGCTTTGGAATGGAAATGTCTTTCATGACATTCTTTGGCATCCTTAACATGTTCTAGAAAAGTAGTTATTCCCAGAAAAAAGCCTAATCCAAATGAAACAAATGGACATTCTGGGCACAATCCACGGAGAGTGCTTTTGACAACAGTGGGAAGTTAGGTCTCTGCAAGTTTAGTGCTTTCAATGGAGCTCTTGCAAGAAGCATGCACAGAGACCTCTGTAAACCCAGCCCTGGGCATTTGATGTTTTAGGCCATACAACTCAGGAAGGAGGTGCCTCTAATTTCCAAGAATTATAAGAGAATGCTTAGGGTTTCCATTCTTCTTCAAGACTGATTTCCCACAATCCTTTGTCTTTTCTATATATTGAATGACTTCAGCACATTCACTAGAAATAGTTGTCATCTGAGAACAGGCTGACACATTCACTTCTCTGTTTTACCTTGTCATGTCCACTGACAAAAGGAGCATACAGATGTAATATTAGGGTAAACTCTTTATGCACATGGTCTCAGATCAGATGTTTGGCTGAATGTGTGCAGGACGGGGTAGGGTTTGGGAGTAAAATCCCACCCATATTCAGTCCACCCTAATGTAACCTCTGTAAGGCCCTGAAATAATTTGGTTCAGCTCAGCTCATAAAAATGGGTAGAATAAACCAGACTTCCTTCCTTCGTACATTATGTACGTACAGAGGCCCAATAAAGCACTAGCACATACATAACTGTAACCATCTCATAGTTCTTAGGGCAGTGACCCAGCACAGAAAAGGTTGCTAGGATAAAGTTAAAGCAATCCGTGAGTAAAAGAAAGTTTCTACTCAACTCTCTCTCAAACACCCCCCCCCACTTCATACAGCTGCCATGGGGAGTGAATGGGTGGGCAGACAAAAATACCCCGGAATCCATTGATCTACCAGCCTCTGACCTTTGTGGCTCTCCTCCTGTTACCAACAGACAATGAATGCTATCTAAAGGCTGCTGCTTGTCATGCTACTCTTTAAATCCAGCTGTTTGCTACATTCAGACATGGTTGAAAGAGGGTCTTTGCCTACTGCTAAGGATAACATAGCTGTACAGAAACATGGGCCTTCTTGGCACACATGTTATACCCAAGTGCAGCTTGTTGTAACGTAGGAAACGGCAAAAACAAAATACACACATATAAACTTTCTCTGAATTTGGGTCTGTATTGGCCCAGTTCAGTGATATGGTAAACCTGTGACTGGACTGTACCACTTCAGACTGCAGTAGGGGACTCACAGAAGAAGAAGAAGAAGAAGAAGAAGAAGAAGAAGAAGAAGAAGAAGAAGAAGAGGAGGAGGAGGAGGAGGAGGAGGAGGAGATTGGATTTATACCCCGCCCTTCACTACCCGAAGGAGTATCAGAGTGGCTTACAAACTCCTTTTCTCTTCCCCTCCCCACAACAGACACCCTGTGAGGTAGGTGGGGCTGAGAGAGCTCTTTTGAGGACTGCTCTTGAGAGAACAGCTCTGACAGAACTATGGCTTGCCCAAGGTCATCCAGCAGCTGCAAGTGGAGGAGTGGGGAATCAAACCCGGTTCTCCCAGATTAGAGTCCGCGCATTTAACCACTACACCAAACTGGCTCTCACAATGTCCTTCTAGACTGAAAATAGTATTTCTGCACTTAAAAAAGTAGCATGTCAGAAGAAAGGATTCTAGCCTAATTTTTTCCTTGCTAATTTTCTGTAGTCTGGGATTTTTTCTTTTTTGTGTCTTCTCTGTGTCTGAAGTGGTATAGCCCAGATTCCACTAAGCAGAGCTGGGTCTATGTGTTCACCATAAGGTCAGAGGACTGGAAAGAACTTGCAATGCCATCCTAAGTAGATTTATCCCCTTCTGAATCCATTGAAATCAGAGGGATTAGAAGGATGTAACTGTGTTTAGGATGGCACTGTTGGTATTCATTTAATCCAGCTCTCTGAACTGAGGTGGCTTTCTCTGTATTACATATTCTGATACTCTGCATATCCAGTTATAAACACACTCCTAGGAGAAAGTCCGGACCTTCTTTTTACAAGACATAATCTTGTGGAAATGAGAACAAACATGATTTCTGGTGCATCTTGTGGCAAATTAAAGACTAACCTATTTATTAAGGCATAGGTTTTTGAGCCAATGAAATTATTAGAGTCCTGGGGAGTCCTGTGTTCAAATCCTCACTTGCCCTAAAGTTCACTGGCTGATCTTGGGCTACTCAGTGTCACCCCCTAGTTTACTACATCTGGGTTGTGAATGGAGAAGGGAGAACAATGTATATTGCCACAACCCCCTTGGAGGAAGAGTAGAATATATTTGTGGATTAGAGCAAACCATGATCAAATTGATCAAGTATTAGATGATGTACCTTTGTATGGAAATGTGTGGCGGCTGAGAATAACACTTCATGCCTCTGATGAAGTGGGGTCTGGTACAAACACTCACAGAGCAATCTAATTGGTTTAAGGTGCCAATAACCCCATTTTTGTTTCTACTGTCGATTTATGAACATGTCTACCCCTTTTGAATTTGTCCCCACAGAGTTTGGATCTAAGGCAACCTATTAATTCCAGCCACAGTCCCACTGTTTTCAATGGGATTTCAATATTGATTTCAGTAGGACTACTCAAATGGACTATGGGAGGCAGTTTTATGGTATGATTCTAAAAACAATTTGCTCCCAGTGTGTGCCTTTCCCCATTTCATTTTGGTGAGTGACATTCTGAAATGTCATCCTCAGTTTTACGTATATCTGAAGCAATCAAATCACATTTGGACACTCTCAGTATTTTCTTAATAGACTGAGAAGTTGATTAGGGTTAGCAAGCGGGATATTGCTCCAGTTTTTTCTGAGGAAGTCTATTAGCAGAAGGACAGAATTATTAGTTTCCACCCAAGACCACCCATTCCATGCAGGTAGGGTTAGCAGCACCTAAACCACATCAGCTACTTACAAATGCCACACAACTCAGATTCATTTCTGCCACATATTTCCGTTGGAAAAGAGTAACTGGGGACTGAATTTTTGCCCCAGAAGAGATCCTCCAAATATTAACTCATCTCAGAAGACTGTGGAGGAAAACCTTGCCTTCCTTCATTTGCCAGTTTGCCAAATTTGGGGTGGGGTGGGGGTCAGGGAGAAGAGACATTTAAACTGGGATTGGAACATTCTGCTGGGTTCCCAGTTCAGTTCCTATTTAAAGAGTCAGCGTGGAATAAAGGAGAGATGGTCCAGGAAAGAAAAGAGAAGAAAATCACAAAAATTTAAAAATATTTCAAACAGAGAAAGAAATGATTGTGAGAAAATCAGTGACTTACCAGAGACTGTCAACTGGGTCCCTCCTCCGAAGACGAACCACAGTGATGCACTGCTGTACAAAAACCTGTCAATGTCTCATAAGCAGAGAACAGCCACCTTTTCCACCTGGGACAAGAGTGGGATATGAGACACCAACTCTTTACTTTCCTTAAGAGGAATTTTCAGCTGCTGAAAAAGCGGCAGTTAATGGTTTATTTGGAAACAAGAAAATTTTATACGTTCCTGGTTCATACGTTAGCCATTCAAAAGCGTGTCAGTCACAAAATCCTTCTTGCATCTGACTAGTCTTTAACGTACTGCCATTGCTAATAGCCCATTTTATGTGGAGAAAGCATGATAGATGAGATTCTGATACCTTGAGCTGTATAGGAGAATCGTAGATTTGGTATCAATGGTCCATCCAGTCTAGTGGGTGACAAATGTGTTCCTTACAAAAGCACACAAGTGAATATGCATGCAGTGAAGCTTGGTTTATGGGTTAAACCCAATGCAATGGACCATTCTTGTGACTGTAAAGATGAACTTCCCCAGTTAGCTGCTGATATGGCTGACCCATGAGAGAAATCAGTTATACCACTTTGAAATGGCCTTGTTGATTGGCTGTGGGAGGTTACCACTAAATTTCAGCAGACATGGAATTTAGAGTGAAACACATTCTTCCAGAATACATTGAGGGGAGAGAGATCTTAATTGTTTTTGTAGATTCTAGCTTCTCCTGTTTCCACTTCTATATTTCCTGTCTTTATAATAATGTTGGTCCTTGCTAGTATTTGGATGGGGGACCACCAAGGAATACCAGAGTCTCTTGCCTTGAAAACCCTACAGGGTCACCGTAAGTCAGCTGTGACTTGAGGGCACTTTACATAGATGCATACATAATACAAGCCCTTGCTTTCTCTGTGCATGTGTAGTTCGATTACAGTTGCACTGCATCAAGGAAGTGTAGTCTATCCCAAAGAGATACAATAGGAAGCTGTTTTCAGCAGAGTCATCAGAACCTGGCCAGAGGGACAGGACTTCTTTCATATTCGAATTTATCCATTGGATCTGAGCAGATGGATTGTGATTACTTAGAACACCACTAATAAAGTTCAGTAGTGCTCTCCCATCAAATACTGGCTAAACCCCAGCTTGTTTCTCCTGAGAGCTATGAGCTACAATTACCATGCAGCAATATGGAAATAAACTCTATATGTTGATTTCCCCCCCCCCCAATGGTTGTAATACACTGTGCTTACCATTATGTTGACCTGGAGCTTGACATATGCTGTGTTCTGGCATCCGGAATGCAAATATTTTGTGTTTATTACCTCCCATTACTCCTTCTGGACAGGTGGTAGAATTTAACGGGTGAAAGGAGATCTAGGGTTGACAACCTCCAGGTGGTGATGCAAGGTCTCCTGGAATTACAACTGATCTCCAGACTACAGAAACCAGTTCCCCCTGGAGGAAAAGGATGCTGTGGAGGGTGGACTCTATGGCATTATACCCCATGAAAGTCAAGCCCCCCCCTCCCCAGGCTCCATCCCAAATATCTAGGACTTTTGCAGTTCTGAGTTGGCAACCCTAACCTGAAGATCTGAAGTTATAAGACTGGTGGATCTCACCCATGGCCATAGGGCTGTGGATGTGTGACACAGGACGAGGGACATAGGGCTATCAACTGTAATGTTGTTTCCATGTTTCTTCCTCATCCTTTAGGAGTAGGCCTCATGCTGAAATGGAATAAGCTATAAGGAAACAAGGCCCAGGTGAAGAGTGGTTAGAGTAGGTACTGGAGGTACAGGGGAGGCTGATTCGTTCTTGGCAGACAAGTATGGTTCTCTATTGATCAAATTTGGATGTAGGGCTGCCCCTGCCAACCACTAATGTAGAAGAACCACATATCCTTCACAATGGAATAACACAGGTAAACACAATGTGCTAGAGCTTTCAGGTGCCATGGGGGACTAAAGGGGAACTAATAGAACTCCACAGAACTGGCATAGTGTCCTACCCTCTGCACCACTCTGGCTTAAGGGCTTACTTGCCTGTCCTTGGACTTGTATAGAATCCACCCAAAGAGATGTTGATCTAATACCACATGGTCACCTGTGCCCTATCCTTTGCCTACATTTCCCTTGCTTGCTATCCTCCCCTTTCCTCTTTATATTTTCTCTTGTTACTTTTTTATTCTGCCTTTTGCCCCAAAGACCTCAATATGTGTTGGTTGATGGTTATGAATTTTTTTGTCTCTTATGATGTTGATCATACTGGCCTCCTGAAAATCCTCCCTTCACCAAATTTATTTATTTATTTATATCCTGCCCTCACCTGGGATTCAGGTCTTGGGGAGGTTACGGCATTGAATAAAACAATTTATAAAATGTAATCCAATAATAGCTGTAGGTTCTAAATATTTATTTTCATTTATTAGAAAACAGTTGGGACGTCCTCATTCATTGAAGTCAGTGGGATTAGAAAGGTTTGCACAGTGAATGACTGAATCTTCTTCTTTGGTTTACCCAAATTTGAACCCACTACCATCAGTGGCTAGACGAGCTGATTCTTCAGAATACCTTCACCATCACCTGTGAAGAAAAGTGGCTTGTGCAATGTGTAGTGTGGAGAAAGTGGATAGATTTCCCCCCTCTTACAAAGCTAGAACTTTGGTTAAGCCAATGACATTGAAAGGCCAAAAGTTCTTAACTGTGGACTTCTATAAGATGTGGGAGATTTTGGTGGAGGAGGACATCTTCCTTCAACTGAAACAGACAATGCTATAATAGAAAGATGTAAATAAGTGACTTGAAGGAATTGGAAACAGTCATTTTATCAAGAAATGACACCCGTTCAATGTATCAAATTTTATTAATCTGCTAACAGTAGAAGCTGACATACAAAGCGGATTCTTGGGAAATACACACGGAGAAGGTATGGGTGTGGACATGCATAGGGCGGAAATCAGGTTTAATTTATCAAACTAACATGAGGACAAAATCGTGTGTGGGGGGATACACTCAGCCCCATGGAGGAATGTCTCCTCCTGAGGGACACTGGCAGGAGGGGCGCTGTTGAGTCACCCAAGCTTTAAGGACACTCTGAGCTCTTCACCGACTTCTCGATGACCTGTCCTTGGTGCGTCACCTTGCAGGTGTAGGTCTCCCGGCTTTTCCAGTCCGATCCGCTCACAGTCAGATAACTGCTGGCCAGGTACTTATCGTTCTGCTTGGTGGGTCTGGTCGTCTCCACTCCTTCCGTGATGAGGTTGCCGTCGGCCTTCCATTCGACCTGGACCACCCCTGGATGAAATTCCGTCATCAGACACACCAGGGTGGCTTTGCTTCTGGTCTGTATTTCTTCAGGGGATGGTGGAAAGACAGTCACCTTCGGAGGCACCGTTTGCTGACCTGGAAGAGAAGGTGAAAGCCTGTTCAGTATCTATGAAGAAGCAGCCCCGCCAAAGAGATACTGATCAGCACCAGGACATAAGTACTTATGGAGGACCTGGAGGGTGAGCAGAACATCACAAGACCAGATGTTACATCAGTCCTGCAGAAGCATTTTATGCAGGCAGAGCTGAAACATGGATCAACTGTTCAGACTTTGGTGTTAGATCAAGGTTTTGTTCACTATCCGTTCATTCATGTGATAGCACAGTGTGAATCGAGCGATGACTCTACTTCTTAGCTATGCATTTAAACTTTTGAGAACTCAGTCAACACTCAAGCATTCATGGAAAATTAAAATCAAAGTAAATTATGATACTGACTGTGCCTGAGGCATTAATGCTAGCACTTTATTAAGTTGTATAATTACAGTTTTAAATTTGTGTTTGTCTGGTTTTATTATTTATTGTACCATTTTATACTGCTGTAAACTGCCCTGAGCTGGCCTTGCCGGGAGGGCGGGGTAGAAATCTAATGAACGAATGAACGAAATGAACGAATGAACGAATGAACGAAATGAACGAATGAATAAATAAATAAAGCCAAAGCTTCTGGATCCCTGCAGATTTATGCCTCCCAGCGTTGAACACTGCGCATGTTCCGAGTATAATCTCTAGAAAGCAAGGTGACACATCCCTTTGGAAGTTAAATCCCCTAGTTTGGAGGGTCTGTTCCCTAATCTGGGATGCAGGAGGCCTTGTTGGCGTCATTATGTTCTAGTTAAGAGCTAATACGGGACACATGTTCAGAAACACCCTCTTGGTTCTTTTGGGACCAGGCAAACGTTTTGTGGGGCAAGGCTGGTAAGACTTTGGCTGTCTTAAGTCCTGCCTGTCCCAGGACCTCCTACACTTAGATAAGCAAATAGGTCTGGAGGGTTTCTTGTCTCAGTCGAGGAGCCATTTAGTTAAACTGGTTCACTTTTTTAAAAAATTAATAAATAACTTCCATCACGATCCATTTAGTAGTTTGGATGGTTCTCACAGCATTCAAAATTAACCTGGCTCTTTCAGTGAGAGTTAGTCCAGGGAGGTTAATGGAACCCCCTCAGATCCCATTTAGAAAGTATTGGTGTTTAGGAATTATTCTTGGACCCACATTTCCAAATAATATATATTTATTTACTTTATTGTATTCTGCCTGTCTCCCCTGGGGACCCAAACTATCTTACTTCAGTCTCCTGTCCTCAATTTTCTCCTCACAACAACCCTGTGAGGTAGGTTAGGGTGAGCGAATGTGACCAGCCCAAGGTCACCCTGCAAGGTTCTGTGGCACAAACAGTGGGGACTTGAACCTGGGACTCCTGACATTTTAACCACTCCACCACTCTGGCTTTTGAATATAAGATAAAGGAATAAACAGAAAAAGTATTGGAATGGCCCATTATGTCCTAAGGAATAGCTAATGTCTCTTGGAATAAGTGATATTTCCTTAACTACCCTAATACCATTAAAACTAGAAACTCCTGGCGGTTTTAGAAGTTTTTCCACTGCAGAAGGCTCTGGGGAAATAACGGGAATCTTAGGTTGTGCTCTTGTTTGTCATGCGGTGTTTTCAGTTGGGTAGACATTGGAATGATGCCTAGAAAGGCTTCCTTTGTACGTGATCAACCTCCAAAAGTTAGATCTGGAAAATAAGTTATTTTTAAATGTCATGTAAGAGCATGGTCAGAATTATATGCGGGTTCTGATCATCCTCAGGGCTGATTTCAAACAACCTTTTGGCTTTGCACATGTCGGATGAATTCTACATATTTCTTGTTTACTGGATATGATAACACACTGACGTGCCCTAGATTTATACATGCTGAACTGATATTTATTTATTTTATGAGATTTATATACCGCCCTCCCCAATGGGCTCAGGGTGGTGTACAACAGTTAAATATACAATTTGAGAATGACCAAACTGTATTCAGATCACAACAGAATGGGCATCGCTCAACCTCTTTTTGAAGCTTCTTAGGACATGTTTGGTGATAGTCTGGGAACAGAACCATATGGGACGCAAAGCCGTTTCAGTGTGTCACATCCACTAATAACTGATTTTTTAAAAATAATACTTCTCGGCTGGACCACAGCATGTACAAATTGGTTGAGTGAATTAGACCCTTTTCCTTTAAAAGAACAAATCAGGCAGTGTATTAAATGGGGACAATGGCTCAACAGAAGACATTACAATTCCTATGTACCATGCAACTATGGTATTGAACCAGCGCATCAACAATTGAAACTTTGAGAGACGGTGATCTTATAGGGACAAAACCCCTAGTTTTCATTCAAGTATTCCCCTTCACTATGACGTGCATAAAGTTGTTGTTGGGGGGGGGGGCTGAGAGAGAACTGCCACACCCAGCGCCCCATATCACCCATCACTTGTTGGGGACGAGGAGAAACCAAACCCTTTGGCTGGGGGCCAAACTAGACATGATGGCTGCCACAGGTCCAAGCCACGCCCACCACTGCCATTTGAGAGAGGATTCTGGCCATGTAAAAAAAGGCCAGCATGGAGGCAGATCAGGAGATCTTCCCCTCCGCCTTTTAAAGTATCAAAACAGCCATGTGGGGGCTGTTTTGGCCCCTGAAAAGGCACGGGGGAAACAAGATCTCCTGATCTCCTTGTGCTGTGGGCCTGGTCAGGATTGGGCCATTACAGCATTTGTTAAAAGGCTTCCAAATTCTTTCTAGAATGGCGTCAGTGTGCATGGGTTGGAATTGTGGCCACCGTTAATGTCTAGTTTGGCTCTTTCTCTTTCTCCTCCAGGTCCCAAATGGCAATTCTCAAGAGCTGATTAACTATTCAGAAATGGAGGCCTTCCTGGTAAATATCTTATACTCAAGTATAATTTCTACTAATTGTCATAGCATATGAGATACCTAACACCCCATCCCCACATAAGCTGGCAATACGCTTGGAAGTAGTACTGGCCCATTTGGACTGCAATGTTTTAGCCTATAGATGACAAATAGCATTGCTGATCCCCCCCCCAAAGGATTCTAAAAACAGACTGGCAGCAGGAAGGCTTTGTGAGAACTCTCCTTCCTTATATGTTTCCTCTGTATGATCGGTAGGAAGGTTCTGGGACATTGTGGTCCATTTGGTTACATGAATCCCTGCCCGCAGTCAGAACTACTACAGTCTAGAAACAGGTTTACCACCTCTTTGAGATGAGAATCAGGTGCT